AATCTCGTGTAGAGCTAAATCGTTTCCCTTCACCGTCATTGTATAGGTGGTGATGTGTTCTTGAGGATCCGAAGTCCCGTCATACTTCGGCACGCTTGGTATTTTGAACCACTTCGGGATTAACTCTGGTGCCGCGCTTGGTTTGAACGATAATTGGGTGTACTTCTTTGAGTACGGTCCTTTCAACACTGGTGGTGCACCCGGAATCTGATCCATTCGGGCGTTTATTTCCCTCATAAGCCACATGAGTTCGATTTGAAAGGGATCATTTTCATTGTTGCTACCGGATCCGCTATCGTTCCCCCCGACCCTGTCAAAGCCGACTTTGCCCCTCAGGATGTTGTTGTTGACCCTCGATGTTGTATGATTTGCGGGAGGACCGGGAGGAACTAGACCTCGTCCATTTGCATTGTTGGAAGCACCCGACAACGCCTGCCTCAACTCCGTCATGACCTGATCCTTTCGTGAGAGATGACCCATAATAGCTTTTGTTGTTCCCTCAGGATCCTCACTGTTTCAGCGACGTGCTCTTCTTCAGCATCATTAGGAGTTGCCTCTCGAACGTGACGTGAATATTGCCCGCCATGGACCAGCGTGACCTCATCCCCCTCGTTACGGGTATCACTGATTGAATCTTCGTGTTGAGGCTGATTTCCTTGGGCCATAATAAATGGGGATTTTGACTACTTATTAGCGCCTTTAGCTTTGTTTTAGTCCAAAAGCATTTAATTGTGTTCCCGAAAACTGATGAAATGTGCTTAATTGCAGGAATATTGGAAGATGAACTCCCGAGATGAAATCCAACTCAAGAAGGAGTAATCTGAACTCAAGGACATAAAAGGCACAGAAGCTCAAAAGTACGGACCATAGAATATCATCTACGGCCACAGATTATGAAGGAAAGGTCAGCAGAGTTTGGTGCAAAGTGCAGTCCGCACATGAAATGTATGGCCGCAAAAGCTAGGCCAGGAGCAAAGTTCAGAGAATGTGCATTCCAAGCCCATCAAAAGTGCGGACCGCACAAGAATTGTGCGGCCGCAGAAAAGAGCTATGCGGCCGCAGATGTAAAAGTGCAGACCGCATAAGAGCAAAGTGCGACCGCACATGTAAAAGTGCGGACCGCAAAAAGAGTGGCTTGCGGCCGCAAATCAGAATTATGCGGCCGTAGACTTCCAGTCCTGACAAGTTGAAGAATTATGCGGACCGCACATGGAATTATGCGGCCGTAGAACCTCCTGAGGGGCATTTTTGTCCGAAACTTCTAGCCCTGTATAAATAGATGAGTTTCACAATTTTAGGTCAACTTTTGACATCAGCAGCTACAGTAGCCGTTTCTCTTTACTTCTTTTAGTAGTTTTTCCTTTTTTGGGATATTTTAACATAGCTTTTATCATTTTGATTTTGCAGTTTAAGTTAATTAACATTTCTTCTTTTATTTCTTTTATTTCAAGCATGAGTAGCTAGATTTTTACTAGGGTTGTGACTCAACCCTAGAGTGTAAACCTCATGGGTGATTAAGTTTATGCATGTTTATGAATGAGTGTGTGTTATTTAGCTTGGTTTATGCTTTATTTGTGGAATTAGTAGTTGCAAACATTAATTCATGCCTATTTGACTTAGTCTCTTCTTGAGAAAGAGGGACCTAGTCTAGGTTAACTTAGCTAACAAAGAATTGGGTCAATTGAGAAATTGATTAACTCAATTAAAGGGTTCAACCTAGAGATAGTAACAATCCGACTTGAGATCTTATCAACCGCTTTGATAGATACCATTTGGTTTTGAGAAAGCCAAATTGGGCAAAATCACTCTCTGATCGAGAGGTATTGAGTGAGCAACATAGTGTTGTGAGCTATAATACACCCAGTCAATAAAACGAGCGCAAAAGTCTTTATACCATTAAGCAAACACCTAGGTTACGGTCACAGCCCTAAGCCTTTTTATATCCTTGGAAAACACTCAAAAACAACCTTCTCTAGATTTAAATCTGCAGATTTGAAATTGTTAGCTTAATTTTAGATGTAAAAGCAAAACCTTGTTTGTAGAAGTGCAATCTCGACATTTCATTCACTTACCCCGAATATATACTACTAACTCCCACATATAACTTCTTGAGGAAATCGACCCCGACTCTTGTTGGGTACTATTATTGCAATCGACCGTTTTATATCCTTGACTTGAGGTGTGAATTGGACGAGACCAGGCCTCAATGCTGTGAGCGATGTTGACATCGTTATCTGCCATTTTCTATGATTTTTGCTAAGAACAAATAATCAAATATGTTAGTAACAAATGTAAGGATCAACTCAATTACACAACTGTCTAAGCCCCACGGTGGGCGCCAAACTGTTTACCCGTAAAACTGTACAGTTGAATGTATACGTGGTTTATAGACAAGGGAATCGATATGACCCTAGAAAGATAAATAAATTAAACATTAATGTGAGACTTAGCGTTGAAATCAAGATAAAACAACCGAAATCCTGTTTCCTGGAGCAGAGCTTCCAGAGGCAGAAGTAACAATATTAATATGCAAGGAGATAAAATATTATTAAGCTTTGAACAGTGTATTCCATAAGTTTGTCAGAAAATTCGTGTCCTCTACAATGGTTGTTGAGTCTCTATTTATAATTGCACCTGGGGAACAAGGTCCTTGGATCAAGCCCTCTTAAATGACAATTACGAGGGCCATTGAAGAATATGACGGTAGGCAGTGAATGTCATATTCTCTGTAACGGACTATGTATTTAATGCTATAGAATATTCTCCATTAAATGCTACCGGGTGGCAGGCATTTGTTCCGCCTTCATGAATACAATTCCTTTCGGGAACCAACTAGATCGTTGCCCCCGGACCTGATTGTCTTCTGTCTTCGGCTCCACGTGTCGCTTAATATGAACATATTTTATCCTATACAGCCAGATCATGAGTGTATAAAATAATAAAATCAGTTTAGAATAATAGAATACCTTATTAGCTATTGGAGGAAGGAAGCAAGTATAGTCTTGAAAGCGATTCTGGTTCATGAGAAGATTAAAGTGAGATGAAGTAAGTGCGATCTTTTGGGGAAAAAATTCATAAGCCTTCAATAGGATCCGTGTCATGTAGAACCTATTAAATCGGAAGTACTCCACCCTACTAGGTTTTTTCTTTTGTTAGGGTTTGAACATGTATTTCCTGATTAAGAGGGGTGAGTTCTCACCTATCCATTACATCCCTTTATGGTTTTTGACAAGCTAGGGACATGTAGGAGATACTTTCTAGCACTAAAAACTGCAATTGGTAACTGGGCTAACTCGGGGAGAAAAAGTTTGATTAAGTTACACTGGATGAACCATTTTAAACTACACTTATATTTTGACCCCTTTAAAATATATTTTGGGGAAATAACATCGTGCCAGAATTTTAAAGTACGCTCCTGATGATAGTCAGAATTTGAAGCATCAGGAGTTCTAACGATCACCTGATTTTTCAGCCATAATGCTGAAAATTCCTGACGATTTGCCAGGATTTGTGCCAAAATCGTGGCGATCATCATAACTTGATATTAAAGAAAAATCCTACCCACAATGAATATTAAATTATGGCGACCGCCAAGAGCTTGCTTTAAAATTCTGGCGCGATTTCCCCCCTCAAAACTTATGTTACCGGGGCCGAAAAATCAATAGTGGGACAGATGTATCATATTTGTGTTATTCCCCCCAAAGGTTTATGGGCTTAAATGTAGCACGAATAATTCAGGCCCAATTCCATAAGGCCCACAATCCAACCACGAGGAAGGATTGGGCTTTTGGCCCATAACCACAAACTCTCTTTTACTCTCCTATCCTTATTCAAATCCAGTTATTGATTATTGAAATACCCAATTTACAATCTATTCTTCAGCTGAATATATTGAGCGCCATAGGGTTTTACTTTAGTGAAAATTACATATCAAATTTCATCTTCAAATCCGTCAATTTCAAATTCTGAATCTGTTTGAATATCATATCAAATCAATGGGGAGGAGAAAAGAGCGTAAGCTTGCAGCTAAGAGTGCCGCCGGTCGTCGAGTTAAGCTCGATCTTTTCGCGGAACCCTCTGGTAATTTCAATTTCTGAATTTATGCATTGCTAGGTTTTCAAGGTCAATATATTTTCTGTTTAATAGCCATAAATTTCACTACTTGTGTTCGAGATTTAATATATATGTATAAAAAAATAATATTGGACCTATATATAGCGGCGGAGCTAGAGCTTTTGTTGCTGGTTCGGCCTAACCCAGTAGCTTTGGTCCAAATTATATATTTGTCTTAAATAATTCCATTGAATATGTATTAATTATTAATTTAGAAGCCAAGGACTAGAATCCCGCATCCATAAGCTTCAAATATTGGTTCCACCTATATATGCACTGTATAGTTTACGGTAGCTCAGCCCTTTGCTGATTGATTGATTTTATTTTGGATTATAAACTTGGTGAGCTATAGGAAGCATAGTCGGTTCTAAATCCAAATTAAGAACAGTTGCATAAGTTGAGAGCCAGTGAAAAATAGAGAAATTTTGATGAATGCTTAAAGGTTAAAGAGGTTTTTGTGTACGTAATTAATACAGTGGCTTAGCCATTTAGATTGATGCATAGTTGATTGGTTGATTGATTTTATTTTGTCTAGTAAAGAGAATAATGTTAAGAACATGAACTTAAAGTTTTGAGCCTTTTCAATTTATGCTGCATGATTTGTTTTTACGGATCTGGTAAAACTTTTTTCCATCCTTTGACCTTTCCGGATATATTGGTGGAACAAATTTGGAAGTGTTGAATCAACTAGAATCATAAATTTGTAAGGCAAAACACATATATGTTCTCTTTATAAAAAAACAATCGCATATCCTGTCCAACTGTTGGGTACCTGCATCCGCTTGAGTTACTACCTTATGATCACTTTGTGCTTCCTTTTTTTAATTAAAACTTTTCGTAACATGGATGTTGATATTTGAGCAATTTGATATAATATTTAGGAGATTTGGGTGGCTCCTCTATCCAAGATGGAGTTGGAGGGGAAGAAGAATCCAAGATTCATGCTGAGCTACCTAATTCACCATCGTCTTCAGGTGGGTTCCGTCAGTTTTCTTCAAAAAGGACTCATCTTTGTAGAGAAGGCATGATGTGACCGATAATGTTGGTGGAAATTATTGATTTACTTTGTACAAGACATCTTGTTTGTACCACATAAGATTATGTTTTCAGAATTGTAGCCTGCTGTGGTATTGGGAACTTTCAATTGGTCATCAGTTACTGTCAGCCCCTGCCACAGTCAATTATTGAATTACGTCTTACCTATCATGCCCTTTTTGGCGGCATCAAAGGCGTTCCAATTACAAGAAGAGTATTTTCCTCTCCTCGGTTCGTATGTTTCTGTCTTTATTTGTTTTAAGGCTTTCTGACAGTTGGTGATGTGCTACAGGTGGTGGTGAACTGCAAATATCTTAAATTCACCAGTCCTCTTCTTCTAATATTGTTATATTTGTTTCCTAAATTTTATCCTGGCAGTATTATAATATATATTAGGTGTTCGAATCACTTTGCTTGAACTTCTCTTACATATACTCTTTGGCCATCAGGTAAACAACCGGAGAATCCACTTATGCTGCTTGGGCAATATAGTGATGATGAGGTGGATGAGGAATCTAGTGAAGGACTTGAACGTGCTGCTTCAGAAGATTCTTCTCTTGATCACGAAGACCAGGTAAGAAGTAGGTAATGTATTCACTTGCTGTTGGCCACACATTTTGTAGGTCAATGAGCCAATCATTTTGGCAAAGAGGATTCTTTTGCTTGCATTCTGATTTGACAGTGCTGTGAAGGTGAATTGTAACCTTAACCTTAAAATTTAAAAAATAAAATTCTGCTTGTGTATTGTTTACAAACTTTGAAGGTCATCAACCTACAACGACTACCAGATGCACCCGTTTGTAGATGTGAAATCATGGTGTGTGAAGGTGTTAAAAAGGGGACAAGGTAGGTCTAAAATCTCTTGGAAGTTGGAAGTAAGTTGTCTCGAAGGACCTACATATTACAGTTTCTTGGGATCCATACAGACTTAACAAAAGATATGGCACATTGGAAGAAATGATCTGTACAGGAGTACCTATTAGCTGAGAATATGTATTTGCATGTTATCATTTTTGCTTTACGTCCTATGCTTTTCTAGGAGCTTCTTAGCCTTTCAAAGATTTATACATCAGTAGAAAATGTAAAGAACTTCTAATACCTTTTATTTTTATTTTATTTTAGATAATACTGGCCTAGGATGAATGTAAATGGAGGAACATGGTAAGTGAGGATTCATATAGCCGAACACAACTTTTTTGAGACCACAGTGTAGTAGTAGTAGTTGTACTCTTTACGAACTTCCTATTTTGACTCCCACTTATTTAGGCTGTGCTTCAAGTAGTTATTCTCCTATTAGATCTCAGCTCCTCTTACTACTCTGCAAATATCATTTCCAATACATTAGTGATTACCTAACCCTCGGGGTTGGCCTGGTGGCAATAGACTTGAGCCTTGGGGTTTGCTCCCTTTCAAGGTCTCAAGTTCGAAACCCACTGGGTGCAAACAATTTCTGAGGGCCATCGGACTGGGTAAAACCTGAATTAACCGTGGTGCACTTGCGGGAAACTCCTTGCCGAGGGCCTGTGCACCCCCGGGATTAGTCGGGGCTCTTAGAAACTCCGACACCCGGTGCAAATCAAAAAAAAAATACATTAGTGATTACCTTCCCTTCCAATTACTATCACTCTATTGAGACGTAAATTCTGCTGCTTCTTTGAGATGTTTTCTCTGAGTTTTTGTTTTTGTTATTTTAATGATTTTGTTCTTTTAGATTATTATATGAGATTTCTACTCTGTTAGCCTAACATTGCCTCTACAATGCATTCCGATCTCTATTCAGCTTTTCTTTCCTAGATGAATGGAGTTACTTTCATGGAGTTGATCTAATAACTCTGTTTTTGTGGCCATTCTGCTCAGGAAAAACAAGCTGGCGGAGAGGAAAATAATGTTAATGGGGAAATTGGTTCTACAGTTATGGAAGTTGAAGAGCAAGCTATTGACAATGGCTCTGATGTACCGAGTCCTTCAGATAGACCTGCAGAAGATAGTACTACGGAAAATAATGCTTCTGATTCAGTTGATTTGCACACTCAATTGAGTGCGACGGAGCAAATTACTGCTCCTGCAACTTTGGATGCACAAGTTCTTGGGGATGCAAGTTCAGGGTGGAAGATGGTGTTGCACGAAGAGAGTAATCAGTATTATTATTGGAACATAGTAACAGGAGAGACTTCATGGGAAGTGCCCAAGATATTGGACCATGCAGCTGAACCGAGGTTCGAAGAGAAAATTACTGCTGATACTGAATGCACGGGCAGTGCCACCTCAGGGAACTTAGAATCCTCTGCATTAGACATTAGACAGACTGGCGTCAGCTATAGCAACATCAATGAATACAGGCAGCCAATAGATGATACCTTACATGATAAGAAAGTAGACAATGGTGAGGACCAAAATGGCACAATAAAGGACTCTGAACAAATCGATTCACAACATAATGAACCATCATCTCCTGGTGGATCTCTTTCTTCAGGGCAATCAGATCAAACTCTTGCAGTTCATTTGAATGCCTCAGGTGAAGATTCTACAATGCATAGGGATGCAGATTATGTTCCAGAAGATGAAACTGAGGCAGACTTTTCCTCTGACCTGGTAAAACATTGTGAACGCTTGCTAGAGCAATTGAAGACCATGAAAGGGTATGCCATTGAGATTCCTATGTGCTTCTCCTCGGAGCTTTATTCCAACATCTCTTCAGTTTTTCTTCTTGTATGTCTGAAAAGTTTTTACAAGGATCTTTCCTCCTCTCACTTTCTTCTTTTCCTTCCCCTGTTTGTTTTTACTGATTATTTCTTGTTCAACAGCTCCAATTATTACGTGCAACTGGACGATCAAATTTCAAAATATGCATTGGAACTTGAGATTAGGCTTGCTGATATTAGGTCCTTAGCCTGTAATGGGCTGTCATTGCTTCCCTTCTGGGTGCACTCTGAGAGGAAGATAAAACTGCTAGATTCAGAAATAAATCACATTCGTGGGCAATTCCTGTCCGGACAACACAGTGATGTTGAGGCTGGTCATGAATCTCACAGAGACAGTGATCATGTACACAATGCAACTGGAGAGAGGCCAAGTCATCCTACCACTGGGTGTGCTGGATTTACCTTGATTATTTTGAATAAAAAGAACATGATAAATTTTCTGTTTCTATAGTGGTGCTACTTCTGGGTTTGTTGCTGTATAGTGGTGCTACTTTTCATCTAACTTGCCTTACACATCTTCTTTCAGTGATGCAAGTGAGAAATCTGGAGCCACTGGAGTCACTGTACATGAAGAGTTAACTCCTCAAACAGTGCTTCATCCGGCTGAAGAAGTAGACATGGATGTGGATATGGAAGTTGAAGACACTGAACCTTCAAGCAGCTTAACTGTGGGGGATGCACTGCATGCCCCAAATCATGCCCCACTGGACGTACCAAGTCGTTCTGCGCTACAGACAAAATTGGAGTCCTCCGTTCCGGAACAAACACCTAATGTTCCACCTCCACCTGATGAAGACTGGATTCCTCCACCACCTCCTGATAATGAACCTTTTCCACCACCACCACCCGATGAACCTTTAGATCACACACATGCTCTTCCTTCAGATATGGAATCGGTTCAACCTTTTTCTTATAACTTAGCTTATCCAGGTTCGACATTTGAATACTATGGGCAAACTAATTCTGAAGTTGCCAGTAATTTATATGCAACTTCGGACGGTCAGATAGCTGTTAGTCATCAACCATTATATTATCAAATCCCAGATACGTATAGTGCTGCTCCTGTGGCAATCAACCATGTTGACCCCAGTGCATACTATGGCTATCAGGATGGAGCACTGCAGCCTGTTTCCGTAGTCAGTGGTACAGAGTCTTCTGGTCTTCCAGCTATACCAGTTCATGAAAATGTTGCACCTGATGCAGTTCCATCCTTAGATGTCCAGGGGGGGTCACGATCTGATTTGTTAGCAAAAACTGAGGCCGATGTACCCGTTAATTTGGAGTCTGAAGAGACATCTTTTGATGTTCCTGCTGCACAATCCTCTTTGCAAACTACAAGAAGTGTATCAGCGATGGATGGTGGTGCTGTGTCTTCAACATCTATGGTCACTGGCTCTGTTGCTACTGCTTCAACTGCCCCCTCAAAGGTTCAATCGAAAGGTAAGTTGGGCAATCTAAACTTTCTTTGCTTGCTTGAAAGTTGCAGTTCTTGCATTTTTAGTATGTCATTAGTATCCGGAGGCATTTTCTGCTGCAGTAACATGTGAAACTCTACCTCGTGGACCTTTTTCAAAGTATATGAAGCTGAACATTCTTATTTTGCTTTCTTTTCTCCTCAGTTTCGCGTAATAAAAAGCGCACTACTGGTGTGGTTTCCACATTAAGGTCTAATAAGAAAGTCTCGAGCTTGGTTGACAAGGTAACTGCCTTCTCTTTGGTGCTCCCCATCAGTCTTTGAAGATTGTTTGGCAATGTAGTTCCTCAATGATTTCCTAATGCTTACTCATTTCATAATTTTCATTAGTGGAAAGCTGCCAAAGAGGAGCTGCATGCAGAGGAGGAGGAAGAACCCAAAAGTGTTCTGGAGAAGCTGGAGAAGAAACGACAACGAGAAATAGAGGTCTGATGATGCTATGTGCAGTTTGATGTTGATAGGCATAGCATCTAGTATATCTAACTTTATTTTGATTGTAGGAATGGCGTGCTAAGCAGATTGCAAGTGGGGAGGCCAAAGAAAATGCTAATTTTCAACCACTTGGCGGTGATTGGTAGCACTTCTGATCATTTACTTTTCACTGCACTATATCTGTATGTTATATCTGATTATGTGTTATACTTTGTTGGAATAGTGGACTTGTCTTGAGATCCTCCCTCCTCTCCCAGCCCTTACCGATCTTAGGGGAGTTAGGTGTTCTTTGTTTTTACTCTTTCGCTTGATATGTGCACTATTTCAGCAAGTATGTATTGCTTGAATCATATGGATGCACTCTTAAGTAAGTGACGCTAACTCATACAGTTGTGCATGCAGTGTCATAGTCAATAAACGTAGTAAATTATAGTTTTTCTACATTTTGTCTTGACTATATTGATGTTGCAGGCGAGAGCGTGTGAAACGAAAAAGAGCTGAAAAGATGAGGGAGGCTGAAAAGCAACCATCTGAAGAAAATGAGCAGCCTGATCTGGATGTTCTTTCTAGAGGTCTTCCATCTGGATGGCAGGTATACTTCTCGGCTCAGGTGTTTTCTACCCTTGCATGGAAGATGAAATTTTATTTTAGTGTGTGTATGATACACGAACCTTGAGCCGAGGGTCTATCGGAACAGCCTCTCTACCTTCACAAGGTAGGGATTAGGTCCGTGTACATATTACCCTCCCCACACCCCACTTGTGGGATTACACTGGTTTTTTTGGTGGTTATAATACACAATCCAAGTGCCTTCATTCTCTTCCTTCTCTAAGAAGTTGAGACTAATTTTGAGCTAAGAAAATGAATATCATCTTAATTTCTATTTGTATGTATGGAAGCATTGTGTATCTAATCATAAAAGAAAACTGATGTTGTCTTTGTTGAGGTCTCTAATTCATGATTCTCACCTCCTTATGGTATCAAAATTCAAAACCAACCTTTTAGTGGTATACCAAAAACAACCTTTTAAGTTGGAAATTCAAGTAATAGAAAATTTAACATGTGTTTGCAGCTTTCACTTGTTTGCTTGTCTGTCGATCAACTCTCCTTGTTTCTCTGTTTTTCCCTAATGTCCAATTAGTCATTAGCTTGGCAAGGGCAGAAATCAGGGTAGATTGCTGATAGAATTCAACTATACTCCAAACTCTGTACATGCCACAGTTTGGTGGAGCATACTAATTAAATCACTTCAAATGTTGGCATTGAATACCTTTAACTATATTCCTTGACACAGATTGGAGCTATCAGTAACAATCAAAAAAATTGGAGTTATCATTTTGATTTTGCTTGTTCTTAGGAGAATCAATCATCATTTTTATTGAGCAAGGTCAAGTCCCTTGGGGGACATCCAATAAAAGTTGGAAAGATACAGAGATATTGAGCAAGGTCAACACTAGTATTATAGCCCCGTGGCGGCCATGTTGAAAAAACTGGTAATCTAGCAGAAGACAGTTATATATTCCAATCATCAAGGAGACAAGGACTAATAGCTACTAGTGTTAAAAACATGTGAAGGTCATTCAAAAGGTTACAAAAGCCATTAGGGTGGTAAAATGAATATAGCCAGAGAGGGTGGTAAAGGGTTGATATTCATTTCCGTATCTATTAGATCAAAAACATTATCATAGAGTAGCTCAATTTATTATCTTAGTTATGCCTCTTGAAATTCAAGCCAATTAGGGGTTAACTGGTTTCAAATCCTACTTGCTTACTAGCCTAGTGAAATCAGTTGAAGGGGACCATAAGTTTCTATAATTTTGTGGATGGTGAAATCCTTGACTGTTCCAACCCCCCCCTACAAAAAATAAAAAAAAATTGTGGATGGCGCTGCATCTCATGTGACTTTGCACTTTTTCTGCCATTTCTGTCTTATTAAATGGTGCTCTCTTCTCCAGGCTTATTGGGATGACTCCACAAAGCAGGTCTACTATGGAAATGCTGTGACATCAGAGACGGCCTGGAATAGACCGACTAACTGAATATTGATACGGAGAATTCCTACCTAATTGATATATTCATTGTAACTTTTACTTTCTATAAAAAATTTGGCTCGAACATGTCAGTTACTGCGTTGTATATATGTAGGGGGGTGTAGTGACGTGATCAAGTGGCAGCTTGCTCAAGCTTGATTTGGTATCTTAATGAGTTCTAAAATTTTGTTCCAGCTCAAGTGACTTTAGTCCGGCTGATCCACAAGTCAAGCTCGAGTTACTGTTTGTTGAGTTAACCAAATTCCTTGTTAAGCTGAGCTTCATAGCACTAAAAAATGAAAAGGAAAAAGTTCAAGCTTGGGTCATTTGCTTGATGTATTAATTTGCATATATATATATATATATTGGAACTGGCATTGTCCAATTCATAAAAGGGGAAAGTCGTTTCTGGTCTATTCATCTCCTTGCTGCTAGCAAATCTATTTGCCTTCGCCATTATTGAAGTAGTTGGATTTCACGAGTCTCAAATTCTTGGAGGAAAATGTCCTCATCTAAGCGCTGACTGGTTTAAAATTATTCCTAGGTCGGAGTTTTATTAGGTGTTCAAAGGCAAAAATGAGATTGTTTTATAACTTTGTTTTTGGGCGGGGAGTTTCAGGTTGCCCAATTTCAATTAGTACGTGGATAAATTTGAGTCTCTCCCTTGAAAAAATGCACAACAATAATAGATGCGCAGAGCACTAAACCCTTTCGTGTAAATGCTTAAAGCTGAGGATTTACTGGCTTTTAGATTTAAGTTTCTGACTTAAGAGGGGTAACCTTCAACTAGAGGAATTAAATTGGTCAGAAAATTTAAAGCTTTATTGTGCAAACAGTAAAATAGGTACTAAAGCAAACAATGAAACAGGTAGTAAACCTATATCGTACACATCTCAACAAAATAATCATACTTAACCGTTTGCTAATCATACATGTTGGAAATACTGTATATGCGCGTAATTTAGTTAAATAACCTGTATGACTAATACAATTAAATGATTTTCTTAATTAATGTGCTAAAACCTTAAACAACATTTAAAATGGACCGGAGATAGTATTATAGGAATATATATATGTATTATTTCATGTTTTTGGTGCATTATTGGTTTAAAAAGTAAGACTAATCATTTTGCCAAGACAACTGTTTGAAATACAATATTGTTCATGGTTGGGTTATGGTGGCGGGAAGAAAATTTTAGTGGTGGAAAAATAAATAGAGGGGAGGGGTAAAATGGGTTAGGAGTGCTGAGGTGGCATCTACCACATCAAATGTCAGTGCCACATAAGATTTGAAGTCTACCTTGGACAAATTTAACGAAAGAAGGGTATATTTGAACCAATAGTATAATGACAGGGGTATATTTGAACCCAAAGTCTTACGAGGGGTATATTTAAACCTTTTCCCATAGTACAACGGTATATTTCGGCCTTTTCCGTTTATTTAACAGTGAATAAATAACAAGAGACAATAGCTTCTAGGTCTGGAAAATAACAATTCATCATCATCAGCATGTTAAAATAACGAAATAGAAGACCGTGGAAGCCATACAAGAAAGTAGAACAATCCATGAAATACACAAAGGCGGAGCCCGAATTTGAAGTTTATGAATTCTTAACTTGCCACCGGATCCGTATGGAATACTCTAGCTCTGCCCTTGAAATACAGACATATCTTCTCCATTGGGAGAAACACAAATAACACTAAACATTATTAAACATTAAAATTGACTAATTCATTGAATTCCTACTTTTGCCTCTTATATATCTTTGCCAAAAATGACTTCAGAACTGCTTGCACTGCTTTGCTTGGCTGAGATTCAATAGAGTTTATCAGCTTTTCATATGTCGTCTTCTCATATTCCAGGTACACATCCTACGAAATTTCCCAAAAAGAATAGGCCAAAGTCAGTGGCGGATGTAGCTTATTAGCTAGGGGTTCAACCGGACCCATTATTTTTTACTCGAGCGTGGATATATATGTCAAAAACCACTAAATATCAACAAATATTATATTCTGGACCCATCATTTCAAAAGTACAATAAGTTTAGTGCTAAGAACTTTAAAGGCTAACCCATCAAGTTTAAATCCTGGATCTGTTGCCTCTGGCCAAAGCTATGTTGCTCGAACTCTTCGCCGCACCCGTGTCGGATCTTCCAAAAGTGCATTCTTTGGAGGATCGACATGCATCCGGGTGGAACTTTTGAAGACTCCGAGCAATTATTTTTTAATACAACGTCATGACTACTTTCAAGGTTGACTAATCAAGTTTAAATCCTGGGTCAGCCTCGGCGAAAGTACCATATTTGAGATGACTGTTTACTAAGAAAAAGAATACAACTTCATGACTACTTATCAAAGAAAGCAGCAACAGTAAAGTAAGTAAGAAAGAATACCTCAAGTTTGAGATCATTGTAAAGGGCTTTAACTTTAGCAACACAAGCAGGATCGTCTTTTCCATAGTTTTCCTGCAAACAAAGTTCAATGGTTTAGCGTTTCCTCATACTAGCTAGTTGCTGAGGAGAATGTAAATAAGAGATGACAAGTTTTTTAGGCTCACATATAATAACTTCTTTTGCTCCTCATTGCAGTGTTCGAGGGCTTTTACTACCAACCAAGAGCACTTGAAATCTTGAATATCCGTGCCAATCTGATAGCAAGACAAATCCTCGTAAGTTTTATACTTTTTTTCAAAGTTAAAAGAGAACAGCGATTAATCTTCAGGATTTTGTAGTGTTAGCTTTCTTGTAAACCTACCTTACCCAGCACCTCAGGGTCAGCAAAGCAGTCCAAGTAATCATCCTACAAAGTACCAAAAACTTTCAGTGAGAATTTGTAAATGGGATATTATACTTGGGTAATTTGGCAAACAAACCAAATTAGATGGACAACTCAAATAGATTATCACGTAATCCATCAAAAAAGTTCATTGCTTGACCACACGATACGCGTATCTTTCACATGTCAATAAGGTATCTCAAAACATACGCACTTACATTGAAAGAGAGCGAATTTCAAATCTCCGGGGTATTAATATGCATTTTCTTTTTATAAGTACAGGAAGATTCTTAGCGTATTCAATAAGTACAGGGATGTAATGTGCAACATTTTAAAAACCGCAACATTCAAGTCTAAAAAACAAATGCTAACTATAAGAATGATTTGGTCTATTTTATTTCTTTTTTTAATAATTGTTTGTGTGTACACATCACGTACGAGCAGTTCGGTTACAATTGTTTTGTATGTCCAAAAGGGAAACCAACTCTTCTTTATTTTCTTTCAGAAAACTAAAACCAGGTTTTCTCAAAACCAAATCCTATTAGATTTCAAAGACAGAAGAAAACTCAAACTCTGTTTTTCAAAACCAAGTTAATTTGGTTTACCAAACTGAATGCTTCAATGTATGAAACTATTACTATAAGCCGGTATTCCCTTTCAAGCAACATTCTGAAGTGGAGTATGGCGACACGACAGGTAACCTCTGAATCCTATCTTCAAAAGCATGAATTCCAAACACCCGTTATGCGTACTCTCTGCCTCAGCTCTGATCTACTAACCATTTCTTTTTGGAAAATAATCTATAATCCAAATCCCCACTAGTGGGATTTTACTGGGTCGTTGTTGTTGTTGTTGTAATCTATAATCCAAATACATCCAACACTATTTCATACACACACATATTTTCCTACATATTTATAAGCTAATTGTTCCAATAACTAAATTAAAACCAAAACCAAGCCCCCTCTTAAAAGTTTTTGTGTTACTTACATAGAACTCATGGTATCTATTAGAAGATAGAATATGAACTAATGGCGCGGTTAATCGTAATTCTCACCTGAACTTGGAAATAGATTCCCATTTCGATAAGTATGTTCTTGACATTAACATGATTGTCAAGACTCTCTCCTGCCATAAGAAGTGCACATGCCACCTGAAAATATTGATAGTAAGTATTCGGCTGTACTTTATATAAAATGCACATTAATCTCGAGGTAATTCTTATTAATCTGGATAGTGAATTCATTAATAGGAACAGGAAGTTTAACCACAAACCGAGCATGCACAGAAGTTTTAAAAGTCATGTTTACAATCTAGAATCTAGAGAAATAAAAAAATAAAAACATTAAAAATAGATTGAAGGGGAAAGTGCAAGGTTTAGCTCAGATGGAAATCTACATAAGAAGCTTGGGCATATTTTTGCAAATGGCTAATTGACTTCAAGATGTTTAGACTTTGAGATTGTTTTAAAACATCTATACTCAAGTTAGAAAAACGACATGTCTTCCATACAAATTAAATATTCAGAAAAAAATAGATATTAAGACATTCTCATAATAGAATAGCAATTAACAAGCTATTAAGTCAATTCATACTCACTGGGAGATAAAATGAGTAATAAGCAGTTTTATACTGGACAATCCGCCGATGACTGCATGAAAAATCACAACACAATGAGCTAAATAATGCAAGTAATACTGAAAGCAGCAAAAATTGCGCAGTACTCTCAACGAAGTCTCCTTACATAGGCAATGAGTATTTTGATAAATCTTTCTCTCCAACAAGTGTAGTAATCAAATCTATCATTTGTCCAGAGGCAGTCTGGAATTCCACCTGTAAAAACATGTCGGCAATGCCAAAGAGGAAAAAAAGGAAAAATGTTCAGCATTATAAGAAGTTTAAATCAGAGGCCTCCTTTGCGCTTAAAAATTCTCACCTCATTAAACAACTCAAGAAGATCGACATAATAAGGCTTTCCTCTAAAGTGGTTCTTCAGTATCCTTGGGATGTGATTACGAAGAAGTATGCCATCATTAGCAGCAATCATGCCAACCTACAAGAATTAAAAAAATGACTGAGTAGATGTAATTGCCGATCCATTCAAAGAGCAAAACAGTAGTCTCTTCGCATACACACACCTTCGGTAATCTGAACCAACACGGTTGACCTCGGCGTGTGTGAGAGCCATCCATTATATCATCAAGAACAAGGAAATATGCTTGAAGCTGCAGCACACAATCACACCATACACTCAGAAGAATTTAAAAGAAAAAAATAGGTTTATTCGGGGTTAGAAACCAGGATAGGTGTAGCTTGAAGAATGCTAATGTTGCATACCCATTCAATGCACCAGCCAAGGGAAGATGTTTGAAAGATTTCCTCGCTGGTTAGTTCTTTCCCCTCTTTCAACAAACTGTA